ACAAGTGTTGTGTGGAGTTTCCCTTTGGCAGGTGAGGCTGGGAGGCTCCGCTCCTCCGGTGCTGCCCAGAGCTGCCATGCCCGAGCCGATGGACACCTGCAGGGATTGTGCCGGGCTGAGTGGGCAGCTGGTGGCTTTGGAGAGCTGCGTGGTGTGTTTTGGTGGAGGTATTAATTCAGAGGTGAAGGGACTGCTAGCAGCCTGAAACCAGCGCAGACGAACATGACAGATATTTTATGGTGAGAAGAAAAAAGTGGTCTATATCTTCTAACTTACATCGGCAGATTAGGCACAAACATCTGTTTTACACCTTAAATATCTGGCCACCCAAACCCATGCCATATTCCTGCCGCATTTCTGATCATCTTTTCATTTCCATTCAAGCAGACTGACAGAAGACCCAGCAGGGGTCTGCAGACAACAGACAGCTTCACTTCTAGAGTCCCAAATGCTGTGGATCCAACCGCTTCCCCAGGACAGGGCAGTTACTGCTGCACAGCAAACGTCTGCATTTACATTAAGTTTTATCTGAAGCTGAAGAGGAACGTCCAATCTGGCCTTTCCAGAAGAGGGTTGCAACTAGAGGCTGGATCAGGCTTAGAGATACAAAATGCAGGATACTTTTGGATTGTGTTAACGCTATTAATAAAATAACCTGAAACTCCTTGCCCATGAAATTAGGATCCTGGCATGAAACCACTGAGATCTGCCCAGAACAAACTAGGGTTTGGCAATTGATGCCAGGCCACTCGGCATCTGAACCTGGTCCTCCCCCGATGTCCTCCAAGCCCAGGTTCAGACCTTCCTCAGCTGGGCGGGATCCGCAGTCGGTGTCTCAGCTGTGCCCTATTTCGTAGCCCTGCAAGCGAGGGCTTCCGGCCAAGGGCAGCCAGGTGAAGGAATAAACCATGCTGAAATGCTGATTTTGCACCAGAATAGCCAAGATCATCTTTTATAAAAGAATGAAAAATTGCCATCCATGTCTGGTTTTTAACTACTGTAGAACCTCATGAATCTCTCACTTTTTAAGCATTAATAGGCAGCAAAGATTTACAGCTGTTTGCCTTTGTGAAGCCTCAGCTTACTAACATTTTCTGATTTTAGAAAATAGGATACAGATTCTTTAGTAACAAATGAAGAAATGTCAAATATCCAGGCACTGAAACTAAATCCCTATTGTCAAGGCAATTAAATACCTCGTTCCTGTGGCACTTGGTTTACTGTGCTTTCCTATTGGCAAACTGCTCTGCAGTGTTTTGTGTCGTTACTGTGAATTAACTATGTTCTACACTCTATAAATATTAATTACGATCAAGACAGATTAGGCATGGCAGGTGCAAAAGTCTGATGACACTCTCAAGTAGCCAGAGATACATAGTCTTTCAAGCCAGCATGGCTCTGTAGACCGCTCAGTCAGACCATTCCATGATGCATCGGGATTTTTGTGTGAAGCCTCAAAGAGCGTGCAGAGTTTAGCTGAAGTCCACAAAGAAAAGAGAACACTTGAACACCTGGGACCTTGATAATTCCACACACCCCCCCTTCTTTAAAGTAGCGGCCAATGACACATTTGGAGATAATTAAAACAAAGACTGAGCTTTTTAAAAATATGTTATGTTATGAGTATTAGCAGCTGGATGAGGAAGAAGCCAGCAAAAAAAGGGAACATACTTCTTATACCATCTATAAATAAACCAGGCTTCAAAACTGAGAGCAGGTTGGTTTTTTTTTTTTTTTTTTTTCCTTTTTTTCCCCACCACAGAAAATCTTTTCTTTGTGCCAGGACTGAAATATTAGCACTGTGTTCCCTCTGTTTAAACAGACCTCATTGCATCTAAGTGCCAGAAAAGTGGAATTCCTGAACAGCAGGTGAAAAGAAAACACAAGATCAAAAGCAGCTCTGGCTGCCAAGAGAACCTGCAGCACTGCTTGGGGGTGCATGAAAAAGTCACTGATTCCTGGTGGTGTCAAAGACTTTTGGAAGGTCGTCAAGGAGTTTTTTTTTCAAGCATCCCACATCAAAAAGCAGCACTAGGAGACAAAACTGCAATACATCATGAGGATGGTGCTAAAGATACCAATCACCCACTTGTAGGAGAATTTAACTGTTTTTCCCCACAGCATCTATGGAAGCAGCTCTAAGAAATCAGTGCTCAGAGTGGAGCCTGTGAGTAAGAAAATAAGCGTAAGTGCTCCTACTGGGTGAACATTAGGCAATGGCTGGTTCAAGTCCATAACCCACTGGGGGACCTATGGAAGAAATGTGTCTTTCTGGGTTCATCCTTTCAGTAAAGGCAAAGGACCCATTACCTTGTTGTCCTTGTATCCAGTCAGCCCTGACATTAATTCCTATTTCTGCACCCAGCTGCCTATTCTTAAGCCCATGACTAAGTCCTTTCTCTTTGGACGATGTACCCTTTGAGGATGTGTGGAAGAAACTGCTCCAACACTCCTCACAGTTAATGGCCTTCAGAAAAGAGACCTAAAGCAAGCTCCTCATTAATCCCTTCTGCCTCCTCTGCCTACCTTTCCTTGACACCTTTGGAAAAAGCAGGGAGAACCTGGCCCAAAAGCAGTCATCTGAGTGTGAAAACTGGGAGAACTTGGCCCCAAAAGCTTGGATGTGTCTCTGGATCTCAGGGTACAGGCAGTGCCGGGAGCCCTGTGGAGTCTGAGCCGTCTCCCAGCACGGCCGCTGGCGGCAGCACCGCTCGTCAGGCCGCACTTACACCGCGCCTGGGAGGAACCGTCTTGACCAACAAAAATTGATTTCCGAAAGGCCTCGCTGAACGTTCGCCCCACAGTTGCTATGCCTGAGAAACGGAGCCTGAGAACTGACTGGGCAGTGTACTGGTGTCCGCACTGGGGTCACGGATCTGTAGTGCTTGGTCCCATTTTTCCTCCTGAACATCACCAAGCAGCAAAGTTCTTTTAAATAAAGACATATATTAGTGGGGTTGAAAATAATACGAGATGCATGTCTATTCTTAAAGACAGCCTTTTTTTTTTTTAATTTTAAAATTCTGCATCTGAAAACACAGTATGACAGAAAGCATTTATATACAACTGCAGTGTTTTTGGTATAATACAGTATTTAATACATCCATTTCTTTTTCTGCAAAAAAATCTGCTTTGTCGGACAAAAAAAACAAATTCCCATTAACAAAGAATACAGCTAAGGCACATTGTTTCCTGCTAAATGAAAGACAAAAGGGTGCAAAAACGGGTAGTGCAATAATTGCTGAAAATCACATTCTACTACAAGAAAAGCATTCTGACTTTGAACTTTGATTACCGGTCAATTTAAGACATTTCAATATCTCATAAAATACTCCTTTAAATAAATAGCAAAATATCTACATCTTTCAGTGTGTTCCATTTGAATTTCCAATTTTTTTTTTTTAAACTTTGCTGTATATACATGGTTTTCTTTTTTTTCTTATTCAATAGCTTACAAAATATTTCTGTACAATTTTATGCATATTATGATCTATAACAAAATAGTTATTTCTTAAAACTATATTAACCACCAGTCTTTGAAAATGACAGAATAGGAATAACTTATTATGGACTATGTTAGGCAATACAAAAATCCAATCAACCCAAAACAAAACCAAAATGACAAAGTCAGAAAAATCATTTCATTAACTCAAATCAGTTCTTTTTTGTTTCACAAATCTTGTTTTCTATGTAAACCCTTTTCGGTTGCCTTTGGGTTGTATCCGCATATGAATACCAAAACAGGATGGGATTTGGGATTCCTAAAAGCACTGCAGCCTGCCGGGAATATTGGTGCTACTGAAAGACAACAGTTCTCATGGAGAAAAGTATTAAAGAAACCCAACAGATACAAGCCTTAGCTGAAGTCCTTAGTTGCTGCTGACTTTGACAGCCTTTGGATGAAGCTCCAAAAGCCAGCTAGTTGGAGACGCATTTATGACTTAGATGAAACAACCAGACTCCTCTGTCTTCTAAGTGTACTGTCAGATTCCCAACTATCACTCAAAATCTGGCCCCACGTGGTGACATTCTTCAGATTTTAAGACCATACCATTAAGAGGATATATATTCTCCCAGCTACTAGTACCAATCAGAAAGGAATGCTACTACAGCAGGTCAAAATGAGTGAAATTAGTCCAGAATTTGTCTTGTGCAGCTGAGGGCAGTCCATTCAGTTATAGTCTGAAGGTAAATTAAAAGTTATTAAGTTTGTACTTTGTAGGTAATTAAATCAACCTTCCTTATCTACAGTGAGTTGCAAAAGACAGAGCTCATAATTTCCTAAGGTTTATATGAACGTCTGAGCCTTCCTCTTGCCCAAAGGGAAGGTCATTTTCTTCCCTTAAAGACTGCATTTGTAAGCAATTTCTATTGTATTTGTGAAGTGTAAGCTGACAGCAACACAACTGAGCTGTAATAGAAATCTCAAGGTGCCTTTTATTCATTCCACAATGAACAGAAAAAGTGAGCAAGACACAGACAACACCAAACTTCCTAACACAGTTTAAGGCCACATTTAGAAAGGATGAAAGTAAGGCTTTCTTTAAGGGGCAACACACTGGATGCCACAATGGGAACAGACACCGAGCGATCCAAAGCTGATAGGATTTACCCAAGGAAAATCCGAAACAACATCCTAATTTTGGCCAGCAGGTCTGTGCCTTCTTTTGAATGTAAGCAGGGAAATAAAATAAAATGCTGTAGACATCCTCCTTCAGAATATTCCCAGCAAACTGAAGGTGCTCCCCTAGCAAGAGATTGCTATCTTCTCAGTCGAGGGTGTTAATTACAACAGAACCAAAGACAAGTCATTACAATATACAAATGCAGCGCAATGAACCGCGCCTAGAATTGTCACTCTGTTATCAGAGGCACCTGTACAGTATCTTGCTGTTTATTTGGCAAGGTTACAATTAATACTTCTAGGTTTTAACAAAGTAGAAAGAGAATTTGCATAGATTGTACATTCAGTTCAAGGAGATTTCTGGTACCTTTTTTTGTTGTTATCAGGTAAACGTGTTTGCAGACACAGTGAGGTAGCAGCTGTGATAGCACCCATGAGCAAAAGAAGGTAACCAAGGCAGAAGCAAAGAGCAGAGAGTGATCTACACACTACTGTTAGTATAAAGGAGCAAATTAACGCAGTACCTGCAGTATCACATCATGAGGGTTAATTGCTGCCAACACCACACTTCACTGGAGACAGCCTGATGCTACCATGGTCCTGGGTACCATGGGCTGTAAGATTTTGTTGTCTCAATTTTAAATGCTCTCAGCCTGATTCTGCTTTCCCTTACTGTGATGGTGGTGGTGAGCGTTTCAGAGGCTCTTCTGCTCTACACCTTCAAAGTGAATTACAAATCAAAGCATTTGCTCACTCTTCATGACTCTACAGGAAAAAAGGTATTTCCCTAAAAATTCTTCCTCGCTGCCCTTAACACTAATGCACATTTGTTTGGCTCCCCTGTGCCTGGCTGCAACAACAGCTGCCCTCAGCAGGGGCTCTGCAGCAGGTCCTCCTGCTCTCAGTAACTCCTGCTGCACCCCTAGCAGGGCAGTGTCCTGTCCCCTCCAGCACCACAGCCCTCCTACCCTCTCCGGGGGCAGCGGCCCTGCAGCTGTCTTAGCAGAAGCCTGAGGGTTTGGTCTGGAAAGACTTTTTCACATGATGTTTTCCATTGCCATTTAATGTGGGCTTCATGTAATGTCTTATGAATCCTTAAGACTATCCTGGAGGCCTTAAGTGGCTGAAATAAAAGCACATGTTGGATCATTACCTTTTCACAGCCAGACTGGAGCAAAGGCCAGTGGGAAACATTGCTGTCACTTTTACCAACTCCTTCAAGTGTGTTAGTACTGGGCTGACTGAAGGCTGCTCTGAAATGCAATCTTCTCTTACTCACAGCTAGGGTTTTTGAAGCAGCCTAAGGGATTTGGCTCACACAAGTACAGAACTTCCTGCTCAGTGGAAAGTGGTGGAGTTGGCCAAAGTTTCCTGTGGCCAACTCCCGAAGCTTTGGGATCTGGGAAGACAACGAGGAGGGTGTGATAGCCGGCGGCAAGCTGGCAGTTCTCTGACAGCTGTGATGAAAGAGAACTAGAGAAATCAACAGAAATTTGGTCCTCGTTGCCTGGCCACAATAAAAATCTGGATCTTGTTTTCTTTTTATCTGGGAAGTCAAAGCCGAGATCTCATGGCATCAGCATTTCTCAGCCTCGCTGTGCAGAAGGTGCCCAGTTTGTTCAAAGTTTTGTTGCAGCACAATTGTGTCAAACTTTTGCAAAGTTTCACCATCTTCTTTACCCTTCATCTCTCTCTTTGGTCAGGTTTAGAAAATCCCAGTTCTGATTCACTGACTTCACTACTCTGTTCGCTAGAATTGTAGCTAAGAGTGATGGAGACTTTGTTAGTATTGCCATTAGTGCTCCAGGAGATGGACAGAAGGTGAATACACATTAGTTGGTCCTAGTGAAGGTGCTGCAGGATCAGGGTTAATATGCCATTGAACAACTGTACATGTGTTGTGCACTGAAGCCAATACCTAGGAAAGTCAATTTGTAACACACGAATGCACCACACTCCTGTATCTCTAGGCTTAGCAATAACGAAGGCTTAACAACAGAGATACAGAGGGACTTTCTTGTATAACACTTGCTATCATGAAGGAACTGTTAAAATTCTCTGCTTGCCGAGAGCACAAAAAATGAAGACATAATTTCAATTGTAAAAAAACCCTTGAATATTAGAAAATTAAAATACAAATATTACTACTCAATGTCCAAATGTCATCAAAGAAAGAATCAGACAAATGTGAAAATAAACTGTCATTTGAGCTATTTCTATTAGCCTCAAGGCTTTCTATTACCATATAAACAGGTTTTGCATAATGCTAAGGCTGACTTTGGACATAATTCATTAAATCACGTATGTAGATGTTCTGCATTTTGCCACATTCCCTTTCTGTGTAATACTGATTGATCACAGAAGTGTTACATGGCTATTGTGCAGCATGGGCAGGGTATTTAAATGAGCCAAGCATTACACACAGAGAACAAATGTGCCCATATGGAAATACACCCCTCTCCCACAGAAAGGGATTTTGATCAAAACTGGCTTTCAGCTGGAGTCCTGTTCAGCAAGGACTAGCCAGTGTGATTGCAAAACAACACTTGCACATTCAAATGAAGATGCACAACTTGCTTGTTTTGTGCGAACTGTGGGTCCCTGCTCTGAATTCTCCTTTTCACCAAATGTAAGATCTGTGAAGTTATTCTCTTCTAACAATACATAATATTCATCACAGGCTCCAAGTGCCTGCTATTTCAGAACCAGAAAAGCCACTAAGCAGGACGTCAGTCTTAGCAGCGCTACCACAGCATCAGCTTGGAGCAAGCTCTGATCCCTGATGCGAAGAGTCTTGCTTACCATGGTTTTTCTTCATAACTACAGGACTTTGTAACTCAGACACAGTGTCCCATATATAGCTTATGCATCTGTGTCTGCGTATTAAGAGCTATAGTAGAGGTGGTTGTTCAGGTCCAAAACTTGACACTGCCCCCAGATGTTCCAAACACAGCAGCTCGTCCTTTGATGACTTCAAAGACAGACAGTATTTACTGATAGCATACTGTCACACCTTTTATTATGCTGGACTTGACTCTGAAGTCCTTACTCAGCAGTAGCACTCTGTGGAAGTTTTGCCTGAGAAAGGACTGCAGGATCAGTCTCTTCAGTTTTATCTCATATGTTTTAACAGCAGCACTGAGATTGCCAGCTTGCTGCAAAACTTCTTTGTGTAGATGCTTTTTGTCTTTCAGAAAATAAACTAATGTAAATTTTGTTTTGAGATATTTTAAACCTAGCATATAATGTAAATAGATGTATCAGCAACCATTTGTTTTCTTTCCCTTTTTTGTTCTAGAACAAAATAATTTGCACCTTACATTTCAAATTGTGCAAGTGGCAGATTTTCTTCTAACCACAAAAGACAGGATTGTTGCCACCTTCTGCTTGTTCTAGTTAATAATGAAAACTTACCAACAAAGCACTTAAAAACATTCCTGCTTAAGAATAAAAAAAGTATCAAATTTAAAAACCCAAGTTATCTGCATGCGTGTGTGTGGGCGCACCCTTATACATATGCTTATGTGCAAGACGGACTGAAGATTTTTGATTACTCTGGTAGTCTTATTGAGAACAATCACTGACTAGGATTGTTAATGAATTTTATTGTGTGCCCTAAATATGATATTCTTAAATTAATCAGCAGGGCTTGAACTGTGCAGTTGCCATTGCATCAGTATGACTAAAGCCCTGGATTTCACAGTGAGGATTGGAGGTCCCCAGAAAATTTGGACTTCACGAAGGAATGTTAGATTAAAAACAAGCACTGTTAAAAAAACCCTACTGAATAAGTAATAACACTGTGTTTCTATTACATAAACCTGTTGGCAACCCTGGTTTTAAACACGCTTGCCTCTAGAGCCAGTTGAAAGGCTGGAACATTATCTTGACTGAAATATTTCAATCAGCTCTCATTGCTACAAGCTTTTCTAAAACTACAGCTCTCATGACTGTCAAAATCAAGACAAAAAAAGAAGGGGAGGTGTGAGGGGAGGAAGGCCTTTTCTTAATAAAGGCAGCTTCAGTTAGTAAGATAACATAATCTTCAAGCTGCAAAAGCAGCACCTACTAATTAGTCATTGACTAAAACATAAATAATAAATACCTAAATTGTTCCTTCTATGCATCCATTTTTGTGCCAGATAAACGTTTCAATGCTCTGCCTTAATGCCAGCACAGCTGACACCGCAATTTCAAGTCCAAAGCAAACTCCAAGTAGCTTTAAACCAATACTACGGAGAGAGATAGTACAAGCCACTGGGATCTGTGTGTTAACGGTCATCTTGCAACTGTTGTTTAAAAGGGAATTCAACCTTTCTGTGAGATGTGATTATAGAATGATTTAAGGGTCTATTTCCCTCCTCATGTGGACGCTTAACTCTCATCAGCAGAAAGCTAGCCACACACACAGAAGGGTAAACAGATACCTTACTTTACTACATCAACAGGATTTTTTTCCTAATTAACCCAGTAGCTTTTAATAGCCTTTTTGGGTTATGTTGTTAACAAGAGATTACCACAGCAACAACAACAAAGTGCACGTTTTATACTAACGTAAAAAGCATTAGTTGGAGATGAATTTGCATATAAAACCTACATTTTAAAAAGTTCTTGGAATGTAAATGAGTTTTTTTTCCTGCTGTAGAAAATGCAGCTTGAAATTTTGCAAAACATGCCTATTTAAAACAGGAAGCAGCCTGCTAGAAATTCTGAAGACAGGCAAGGGTAGTTTGTTGACAGAATAAAGTAAAAGCACTGAGAAATGTGGCACTGCTCTCCTCTCACGTTCAGCTCGTGGCTTCGGTCAGGAACTCGTGTCCTGCCCAACCTTCCAGATGCCCTGCACAAGCCTAGAAGAACCCTTCTTTGTGAAGAGCTGGCAGATCTGAGATGAAGGGAGGGAATTAGTGTTAAGACTTACTAGCCACTACTCAAAGTAGGGAAGAAAAGTGTTGTTGCAGGTTTACGTCCCAATTCTACCATTTTACTGGTTCTGCGCAACTCCACTGAGAAAAAACTCAGCACAGCTTATGAACAAAATCGACAAAGGGTGTGAGCAGACACATCACAACCCACCCCCAACCTACACATACACACTTGCTGTGCTGGAAGTCTGCGAAAATGCTTATGTCCTGGTGGGCTTAGAAAAAAACCTGCAGATTTGAACGGGCTGAAATCCAAAATGCTTCTGTATTCTTTAAATTAATACTTAGTACCCAGACCCTGAACCTGACTGCATGAGACATAAAAGACTAATACAGCAAAACACTGGTTTCATTTAGAGTTTATCATGAAGTTGTCTAAAAAAAATCTCTGAGAATAATCTGAAAGGTTCTGCTTTTGCTCATTTTCTCTAACTAGGATAACAGATATTAGCCGAGTTCAGAATTACTTTATATTATTAAAAAAAAAAAGAGTGAGGGTATACCATAATTATTTTATGTTCTGTGAGGTAATGTGGCTATACAGGCTCTAGCCTGCAGTAACCAACCTCCCCAGGAAACTTAAGTAGAAGGGAATTTTGCTGTGATTTATTCATGGTAGCAAAATAATGAAAGCCTATTAAACAGCAGAGGTACAGACAAATTTATTTTTAAAAAACACATTTAGCAGCTGCTCCTTCACTGCCTTCTCCATAGCTCACTGCTACTGTTTCGAAAGCAGCGTGCAGTGTGGCTGGGGCCCACGGGACAGCAGAGAGGCTGCGGGATGACCAAGCAGCTCCTGACAGAGCTGATGGAGAAGGCAGTGCCAAAGGCCTTGTCAGAACTTTTTTTTTTTTTTTTAAAAATGAATTATATTGCAATAAGTAACAAAAAAGTATAATGTTCCCTTAGGTTTCTGAAATCTGGTGGGAGATTCACATACGAGCAAGGTTAAATTCCCTTTTAAAAACCTATGCCGGAGGAGAGCGTACCGGATGCTACCTCAAGCGACCGTCAGGTTTCACGGGGCCCAGCTCTGACTTGGGGTCTGGGCTGAGGGAGCTCCAGGCTGTCTGAGCACAGCCCTGCATGACGGGGCAGGCGGTGGGGCCGGTGCTGCAGATGTCCACGGCTGACCAGACGCTGCCAACCAGAGAGTCCACCCAGGCTTCCAGGCGGGTGCCCACGAGCCCCGCATTCCTCTTGGCCTGGTCCACGCGGGCGGCACTGATGGGAATATTCAGGACGGGGTTCAAGCCCTGGAAGCTCTGCTCCATGTATGCATTCTTTGGAGGCCCGCTGTGATACTTCATGGCTTCCTCTGGAAATGCAGAAATGAACCCAAAAATTAGTGCATTAGAAAATCCCAAAACAAACCTTTCAGGATCTAAGGGTACGGCAAACAAAAAGGCAAAAGTTAGTGGTGCGTCACAGTCCATTGCCCCAGCATTGAGGACGCTGCATCCTGCGGCTGGCTGGCTGTGCTCAGCTCTTCAGCTCCTCGTGTTCACCACCACGAGCTCCACTCACCGTGATGCTGACCCTGCGAGTGCTGCGTTAGCAGGGAGAAGCACTGAGGCTGAAAGCAGCGTTGTCCTTGTTATCATTACGTATAACCGGCATCCCCAGAGCTGTAGGACACCAAAGAACGACACAGAGCTGTTCTGCACAGCACAACAGAAAGGCAGGCCCAGCCTCAAGGGCATCCCAGCTATGAGCTCCTGTCTGTACCTGGAGCCTGATTGACATGCAGCTCCTTCTTGGGAGAAACCCATTTTGCATTTAGGAGAAGTTAATTTTGTCTCTTCAGAAGAAGCCTGGGAGATAAGCTCTGTGCAGCTGAAGTTACCCCCGTGGACACCCAGGGAAGGCTGTGCTTTGAAATTAGGGAACAGTTCAAGAACACTTGATGTGAGAAGGCTGGCAACCCTCGTCAGACCTTCAAGTGCTATCATTGATTTGTCTAGGAGGCCAAGAGCCAAGATCTCAGCCTCTACTTTTGCCTAAACTGGTGAACCTTGCCCTGCTGTGGAAAAATCACAACATTTGTTATCTCAATCTGCCTCCAAAAAACATGTGGCGCCCTTCTTGGCAGTGGACGGACAACACCATGGCCTTGGACAGATCAGACCCATAATGAAATATATTTAGCCCCAGCATCGTTCCTGGAAGTGCTCCAGTCTCTCTGTGAAAGTATTCTTTCATGACAATTATATTTCTAGCTCTTGTGCCAAATAATGGATCACAACTGTTTCCCAATGACACGTCTGCTTTCCTTACAATAACTGTTCTACCTCATCAAAATGAAGTACATTATCCCACATCTATAAGACTATGGTAAAAATTATTGTCAGGCTGTGACAATGCCTTCACAGACCTTGAATTGGACACTGTGGGTCAGACCGCCCTTGTCTAAAGGTGGCTGACTTCTGAAGGTCTGCAAGTGCACCAAGCTGCTGCTCATAAAACCAGAATGGGACCCTCCAAAAAATGTTCACTGAGTTGCCTCTTGAGAATAAATTTTCAACCATTTCTTTCTGTTCTCAGCTGACTTCCCCAGCATCCTCGCTCCGGCAGCACAGAGGATATGTTTAGCTCTGCCAACACACACACTGTCTAGAACACAAAATGGGCCCATTCAGGGCGCTCCAGGCTAGGAAAGCCACCATGCTCAGAGAGCATTTAGGGGCCAGGAATTATATATTCAAAGCTACAATTCCTTCCACATGTCCTTGCTGCTTGCACCACAGCCTGACACTGAGTCCCTTCTTCCATGTGGAGGACAGTATCTGAGGCACTGGCAATAAATCAGTACATTTATTTAGAGGGGAAAGGGACACTTAATTGGAGCTTTGCTGTTATATTTACAAAGTCTTTAATGTCAAATACTGTGCAAGTCCATTATTTTGAATCCCCAATTAAATTAGTTCAGCACATCCCCATCACCATTATACATCACTTAACTGTTCCTGCATTCATCTAAACCCTTCTTTTTATTTTAAATGGCAGATATCCACAATAACCTCTAGTCAAAATTTTATTCCATGCACATGTGTCAGAAGTGTGCTCTGCCAGAGCACTGCAGTTTAAGAAACAGAACAAGTACACATGATTAAATTTCCTCCTTTGGAAGCAATTAAATATGGACGACTGTTTGTCAACATATTAATTAAATAGGAACATTCTAAGTAAAAATCCCAAAACAAATAAGAGTTGGCATTACTAGTAGGATCATCTGATTGAAACAGGCAATTCAGAGAGCTTGCTGAATCAAAGCCTGTTGTGCATGTGTTTAGTATGTGGAACGGGAGAGATCTTTTTTCAGACAAATAACAGGATGAAATGGAACTCGCTCTTCTCTCTGGCTGAGCCTCACACTTGTACCAGGCTTCAGGACTTGGTTCATTATTAGGACTGGAAGGAATGAAACTTGCAGAAACTGTAGGATCCAGTGCTTGGCAATGCAGCAGGAGCTCATCTTTTTCTCTGAATCTGTGACCCTTGTTGCTTAAGATCAGTGGGCTGCTTTTGCTAAAATAAAGGTGGTAACTTGAGCAACACCTTTAAATCTCTCCACACTGCTACTGCTGTAACGGTGTCAGACACACTGTGCTTCTCACACCAACACACCGCTGTTTCCTTCGGCACCACAGTGACTGCCACACTCTGCTCCAGAACTGGCTGTGCTGCAAGGGCATGCCAGCAGGTACAACAGAAATAGTGTTTAACGGGACTGAAGATAAACTTTGAAAAACCACACACAAATATCAGCAGATAGGAAAAGAAAAGACTGCTGAGGACAGTATTAAAGGTAACAAAACACTATGTTTTTCAGTGTGGTAAAGGCTACTGCTGCCCACAATGAAGATGTGCTTGTTTGATGTGAGATACACAAAGAAACCCTGATATGGTACTGGCCCTACAGCAGAATGAACTCCCCAAGTTAGGTGTCTGCACGTCCTATAAGGAAAAAGCTGGGTATCAGCAATTTGAGTGTAGAGCTACTTATACTAATGAACAGGAAATGCTGAGGATTCAACCCAGAACCCTCTCCCGAAGCCTCCAAGTCTTTGTTAAAAAGTTCACAGGAGAAAGTAAGGAGGCTGCTGCTCATCCAAGTTATGGCAGATGTGGGCTATTCCTCTTTGCATTAAAGGAAAAATGAAAGAGAGATAATCATGAGTCTATAACTTACTGGGCTGGGACAGGAGGCTGATGGATCCTAAGCCCTGAAATACTCTATAAAGGAGGCTGGAGCTACTGGGCATGCTTTTAAAGCACTGACACTTCAGTCCTTGCTCATGAAAAAACATCGAAGAATGTTAGGCTTGCCCCTGTGAGATGTGTGTTCAGACATTTAATCTGCAGTCAGAGCACCCAATTCAAAATTACTCTGAATGCAGATATTAAGCCAGATGTTTTTTTTTGCCAGCAAACACATCCAAATAGCCCTTTGACTTCAGGAGGACATACATCAATGCAAAATACATTCACTGACTCTAAATTATAGCTTTAAAAAAAGGAGTTATTTTTGTCCCCCATTTTTGTTTGCTCTTCACTTTGGGAGGGCACTTCATTTCTCAAATGACTTTTCTTGGTATGACTTCTTTGGACTGAATACACATCCTATAGTCAGCCACACAGGCTGGGATTTCAGCATTTTTGTGTGGGTTTGTTCTTCATTTTGCAGAAAAAGCAAATGAGTTTAGACAGAGAGTGGGCTAAGGAATGAAAAATGTGGTTACCTTAGTACACATTAAGGCGCTAGACCTGTGTTTTTTTAAAGCAACAGAATGTACAGCTTCATTTCTTTACTTGAATTGTGTTGAAACCCTCTGGCTAAGAGGTAATTTTTTATTGACATTTTGTTTGTTTTCTCTTGCAGGAAACAAGACAGTGCTGCATTTGCTCATTGTGAAGCTAATCGACTCCTTGTCAACTGGATCTGAACTAAATTTCGAAGCAAATCCCTGTCTTCAGGGTTTTTTTCAGAATGACGATTCCAGGGCATGTCTACTCTTCTGCAGTCATGCGCTTGCCTGCTGCTATTACTGCGTTTATCAAGAACATGTCATGTTACCTCTGGTTAATTTAAAGAAATCACAGCAGTTCTGACACAAGTTGCCACCCACCTTTATAATCCGTACAGATGCAATTATAATTGATTGAGCCACTGCAAACAACCAACGGCAAAACAAAGGTTTCCCAGTATATACTTAATTAAGATGATCTATAAATATGGATTAGGTTAAAAGGCCTTTGAGATCATGCGTGCATCACAGTATGTCTGTTAATGCCGACAAGCCTTTGAAAGGGGTGGCTGCAGTTGGAGGGCACAGGGACCAGGAGCTGGCGTTTAAGGCTCCCTGTCCTGTTGTGGGGCAGCAGAGACCAGAAGCCCCATGTCTGTCTGGGGCATGTGATCAAGCTAGGAGCCAAACATGACAGGTGTCCCTCTTAGGGCAAAGGGTGCTCTTCTTCACAGCTCTCCTTGTTTGAAGGAATAAGAGTTTTATTTATGTATTTATTATTTATTTTCAATCTAGTGTTTAGTATCAGCTTGAAGTTTGGGGCATTTTCTGTCCCAGAAGCGAATCTGCCCACTGGCTCACAGTAACCTACTTAGCTTTAATGAAACAGGTACTATACATTAAACGCATGACAACTCATTATTGTCACTCCAGCTGGGAGATAGCTGTGGAAACTTTGCCATGAATATAAACTCAAATTTAAAAATGAAATTGCTTTGGCTTTTCCTCTGCCCCTCTCAGTGTCCCTGGAAAATGTGTGCGATCACACTTGGCATGACTGCTTCACACGGATTTTGCAGAGCAGAGAAGGGTGGGAAAGCGGGATGATGGGGATGCAGAACCAACCTCTACTGAATTAGCTGTTTTCTTAGGAATTCAAATCTACTTGGTAGCTTGGATTACAGTCTGTGAACTGCTGGCTAAATACTCTGAATTATACCTGTTGTTTGGCTCTGCCTCTCCAGTCCCTATGCAGGGGACCTGGACGTGTGGCCTTGAGTCTTCAAACCGCACTTAAATTCAGACTGCCTAAAGCAGACAGCAGGAACCCCCCATTCCTGTCTATTATCACTGCTAGTGATCGTCTTACTGATCTTCTCCCTGTTTTGTCTCTTCCACATTACATTCCCTCTCTGTCTTGGCACAATTTAATCCTAGGGCATCCTGCTGGTCCTTGGCAGCTCTCCCATGTCCTTACAATAAGCACGGAGTACTTGGCTTTAACAAAGTCAGCCATATGGTGAGAAACTCAAAATCGCCGTTTAGAAGAAGAGTAAAACAGAATCTGGCTGTGCAGGACATAGAGGGAAGAAGATGCCAGTGGAGCAAGTGAACCTGATTTTTCCAAACGATTTATCTCGCAAATTCACTTAATTTTCCTTTTTTTTTTTTTTTTTAACTTTCTCCCACCAGGCAAACACTTGAAAGCAATCCCAAGCCAGAGGATCTGCTGAAGTCAGAGCCTATCAGTGACACAACTCAAACTAGAGAAAATAAGACACAGATTTGGAAGACGGGAGGGGGAAGAGGAGAAAGAAAGAATAAGTAACATTAGATTCTAGACTTTCCATTGATAGCTTTGGGATCCTAGTTTACAGTGGAAGTACACCAAGTCTCCCAGCCTAATCCGTAATTCCATGTAAAATCCGATCTCTTACAGATTGAGGTTTTGAAAAGGTCAATGAGTCTGCGTTTTTAAAACAATTCACATTCTGTCAGTTATGCACATCTGCACACAATATAGAAGAAAATACCTGCTCTTGATTCCTCTCTATAGTCTTACTTGCATGCACAGACTTTAGGCCAAAATTAATAAATAAATGGGAATAGAAAAATGAATAAACTAGCTGCATATGCTGTTTTTATAAATTGCTAAACAAAGCAACTTTGCTGTTGGCTGTCCCATGGCTAATTTTTTTATTTTGAATTATAATCAGGAATTTTGAGAGTCATGATACATGAATGAACACGTTTCGCTTTGATTATTCAAAAAAGGAGCAAGTGGGTCCCTGCATGATGCTGGGAAACTAAAAGCAACTTTTCCTTGTGCTCCGTGCTGATGTGTAGATAAGTAATGACTTAGGAAATACAGTGACTGTTGTCATGTCCATGATCTCAAGATACAAGATATTAGTGGCTGCTGCGCTGCTGCCAGATTTGTGCAAATGCTTTTTAGAATGACACAAACAAATTACACAAGAGACCATGGACAGAATTTTATGTATGTAATTACATGGACTCCAGGTTCTACATCTGGAGTATATGAGACAGAGCGGGGCAAACCATTATCAAGCAAATGACATGCAAAGTGGTATGAAATGTATCAGTCATTCAAAAACCTTCTGGATGGAGTAGCAAATTATTTTCCAGGGTAATCTTTCTGACAAGAGCTACAGCTTTTTTTCTCTCCCCTCCTTTGTTTTGTGGGGGGAGGGGTGAGGGGAGTGGGGGTGCATGAGGAGAGTTGGAAGAACAAAATTTTAAAGAAATCCCTAATAAAACATATTTCTCTCTTCTGCTGACAACTCCTGCCTAAGTCTGATGTATGTTTTATTTTCAGTGTTAAGACAAGACAATAATACCATTCCTTCAACTTTAGAAGATTTTGGCAGCTTTTGCATTGTTTACAAGAATAACAGAAAGTGTTCTTTTAGAAGTTCTAATTCTTCTGTCATACTCTCACAATGCCTTTATTTGGCAGAGAAAAATATATTTAAAAAATAAAGTGATGACAAACTGACAAAAGCTGGAAATCAAAGCTAAAAGACTATTGCCTGCACAGAACACAACAGTGTCACTGAGGCAGAAAGCCTTAAAAAACCCAAACAACAGAAATTTGCATTGTAAATACAATTCTAACTACAGTGGAGTGTCACTGTCTGTCCCTGTAATTAATTTTCTTCTTTACCTTCATGCCTCAGACATCTGGAGATTATACATCACATCATCAGTAGCAAATCACTCCTGAGGCTTTCTTCCTAGATAATGTTGTTCCCAAGCTTTATATTTCATTCCTGTAGTAGATTCTAGTTACCATATGAATGAACAGGGCTTTTAAACAAAAAATAGCAGCCAGATCTTCTCTCAGTGTATCAATGGACAATGTGGAGCAACTCCATAATTTCAGTGCAATTATTCCAGATTCAGAGTTTGGACCAAAGGGAGTTTTTGCCTTTATACCATAAAGTGTGGGCTCATGGCTGAAGTCTGAGACATGCTTAACTGTCCACAGGGCTCTCGTGTTATATGGAAAAGTAGCAAGGTTGCTGGCTACATGCCACATTTTCTACCCAATTTATGCCTTAACTGTTAAATTAGCAGAGAACATAGAATTCATTAATTTCCAGGAGACAGGTCAGTAACAGCTGCATTTAGAAGTAGGTTGCCTCAAACTTTAAAAATGTATTCCTTCTGTACATGGTGTTTCTTCACAATTTATCACTGCCTATTAGCTAATAGCAGCAGCAGGTTGTTGGTGGTTTAGTTTCTGCTAAGAAATGATGCCACCAAATGTTAGAAGAAGAAATCACTAAGTTAGCTCTTCTGCTGAGAAATGTGTAGAATCAAGCTCCTGTTGAGCAAGATAAGGGCTGCATTAGCTCTCAGCAGTTGTCTGGCAGTGTTTGCATTACAGAAGCAGCACGTTATGCTGGAAGGTAAATGCCTGACTCAGTTTATCTGCTGTCTTGTCAGGAAGAACTCCTGAAAACTTAATAGGATCATTCATGTATCTAGCAAATTTAAGATGTCTGAAGTTATGAATATTAATACTGGGCAGATGGAAGCACTTGAGCATGTTAAGAAGAATGGTAAAGATATTCATAGCAACAGACTTGTTTTGATCTTACTGAATAAGAAAACAGGTGTGGCTACAAAACGTTCTCTCTTCTCCCAGCCCAGTGTCCCCGGTGCTGGCTGAAGACACGAGCGCTCGAACAGTGCCTGTGCCAGTGCAAACTGCTGCTGGGCGCCTGTAGACACCGGCGGCCCAAGAACAACCTCTGCTTGAATGGCTCAGGGCTGCTGTGGCAGGGAAGAAAATGGTTTCTTTCTAAAAAATGTCAGCATGGGTCTGATAGCGTACTTACCAGGATCACTGTATCCATAGATACTTCTGTAAAGCAACTGCTTGGCCTGTACTGAGCAGGTTTTGGCAGGTATCAGGCAAGAGTGAATGCCTGGACCTGATAATATGTCAGATGAGCTCTGGCCTAGGGTAATTTTGTCTAATTCAACATTTTGCGTATTAATGCTTTTATCATTAAACACACAGACTTTGTCAAGATAACAGTTTAAACATCTGTAACTCTTTATGAGCAAATGTGAATGAAAAGCAGCAGAGAAAGGTCCACTTTTTATTTCTAAATGATGGCTTTTACGATAGCTGTTAGATTATTGAGAGTCTGAAGTTCTCTGGATTCTGAAATGTGCATATTTAAAAGATATAAATAGCCTTTTGTTCAAAGTGGTTGTGTTTTACAGACTGCATACAGACAATTCCGCTTGTCTTAGTGCAACAATTTCTTCTGATTTAGTACCTATAAAATTCCTTTCTTTTCTCCTTTTCCAGTACAGCGTTACAGCAGCATTTACAGTGAATATGAATAAAGACACATTAACTGTATTATTTCTTTACCAAATAATAGAACTTACCTTGTTTGATAGGCTGCCGATTAGAGAAGGTGAGAGGAGTAACAAGGAATTTGGTTTCAGCTACTTGTACCCAGTGGTGCAGAATTTTTATCGTCCAGACACCAGGTCGTAGGGGCAAATTCAAAGGTGGTTTGTAGTGAGTAAATTCGGCACTGGATTCAATAAGAATATCATATGTTGCTGCAATTACATTAACTGGATCCACCCAAATGACAGTAACGGTGACGTTGGGGCCTTTTCCCCATTTCTGCATGCCAACTGGCTCGTCTGTTGGCCCAAGGAGTCCTCCAAAATTCCGGAAAAGCCTTTCCTTGGCGTCCCATTCAGTGCCAATCTGAAATCAAAGAACAGATTGCTTCTAACATCATCTCTGTAAGCATCTAAGACCCTTACATCAAATAAGGGCTCTCAAGACACACAAATCGTATTTCTTTAATGACATAAATTATGCATATATATATATATATAAAGGCTGATGGCAACACAGCCTAAGATCATAACCTGTACACAAATTGTGAAACAACCTTGATTGCAAGGCTTGTTTTTTTGGTCCAGTTGGCCACTTTTGATTGATATAAAGGTTTTCTTTATCTTAAGAGTGACATAACAGGCTATAGCAGCTCTCCTTTTCCTCCACATGGAAACAGTCAATGAAGGACTAAGTCTAGTGACTGAGCACAGGCTAGGCATAGAAAAATATATGACCCATCATCTCCTGGGTCGTGAAAATGTTTTATACATTTCAGAGATGAACTCTACAGTAGAGACCTACCCAGTTACTCCTAAGACCAAGGAAGAGGCTTTTGCTGACTTTAGGACAAGTCACATCACGCCTTTTACTACAATCTATCCATGAGATATTGTCTCCTTGCACTCTCTTCCTGCCTGATGTGGGAAGTTATTTCTGGTAAACTCTTTTCTTACTGTCATAATAGTGACATTGTTTTTTATTTATTCACTAACTAACAGTAAAGCAGCTGATTCATAATCTAGTGTAAATATTTAATGGACCCTTCTTTTTTTTTAGCAGCTGCTATATTTCAATGCTCTTTATATGAATTTTAACCCACAGAATGATACAAACGTACAAGCTGTTGCCATTAACACTTGTACACTATTGAAAATAAGCATCTCCAAACAGATAGCATGAAATGTAGTAACTGTCCTTCTCAGGCCAACTGAAAGACTTTTTACTATCCCAGCACTAAAACTAGCATGCGTTTATGAGGCTGACCGTTAATGAACCACTTCCATCAATTCTCAAGAAGGCAGCCTGGTAGACCACAGTATTGAAGGCTGTATATTTGATTTTTGAGGAAGTGCCCACCTCGCTTGTCCCATGAGGTCTTGTTCCCATAATCTCAAATCAAGAGATTTGATACAAACATAAAAAGATTTGAGGGACCCTATTTGAAGTGAAGAACAGAGAAACTACTGACTCCTTTTGGCAAGCAGACATATGATGTCATTCCTTGGAGACACACAGATGTTTTGGCCAGCCTGGTACTGAAACCCCTCACAGACCTTCAGGTCTTCTTTGGCCTTAATCTCCAAACAAACAGCATAGATGACCTAAGAGTTGATTTGTTCCCTCTACAGAAACCATGGGATTCTCTCAAGTGGTCTCCAGAGGCCCGTGCACACACGACAGGGTCCCCTCTTTCAGCATATGTGGATATTGAGGATTTCCCTGACACAGAGCTGTCCTTGTCCCTAATCTTCACCTCACACAGGCATGGTCATAACCTGCTTTCCTGAAAGCATAGAGAATAATTGTAGCTCATTTGCTTCAGAGATTTTTTTTTTTCCTAGATTTCATCTTATTTCATGAGAATAAGTGGTGCCAATATAATGCCCAAATCCCCCCAAATCCATAAAACATAACAATTACCTGATGCCTACTACCACTGATACCTGTGCTGAAAACTGTCCAGTCCCCAATCCCTTCTAAATAAATCACTGTGGTTGGCAGACAAATTACAGGACGACTGCAAACAGAAAACTACAAGGCCAGTAGAATAAAAACCTACCATCCTAAATCCATCATCATATGAATTCCTCCTACCGGACTATGACACCGCAGAATATGAGACAAAATGAGCCTTCCACTACTCTGCAATCAACACAGCAGAATCGCTGGTATTTGAGAGGTATTTCACCTAGCACACCAGCTAATCAAACCAGACAGCATAGTCCAGATATCAGACCCAAGCATCGACTGCCTCGAGGAGCTGTCAGTGTGTACTTTCCTGAGAAGCCCAACTGAATATGTACGGAAAAAAGATGAGAAAGAAAATTTCCTGACCAGATCTTATAATCTACTTTGCCAGCCTTCACTGAGTGCGGCCCTGTCACACCTACCAGAGCTCAAGGGACCTGGAAATAATAAAGCCACAATATGTGAAACAAATCTACACCCTCCTGGGCAAAGAAAAGCCTGTAAGGAAGCTCTTCCCACCATATTCAATGTATCTTACTGAAGAACTTCTTGAAGAAAGCTCACTTCATCCTCAAACAATAAACATTCATCCCTGACATTCAACTATTTTCCTCTCTTTAGTCTTTCATCCCGTGGAAAAGAAACCAGAAAGTTACAATCCCCATGCTCCGACCTCCAGGTGACACTGCTCAACATCTGGTTGCACAAAAGATGTCGAGACATGTTCACATGTGCAAAGGTTTGTTAGAGTGGTCTGTAGAAGAGCAAAGGTTGCTTTTGTGGAAAAATAGTAATAAAACTGTTGGTTGGTTGTTAAGCTTTGTGCAAGCATGTTATTGGGTTCCCTAATGTAAACCAAAAGTTACAGCCAAGGGGCAGGAGAAGAGCGGGAGGAAGGGACAATTCTCATGCTGGTGGCAATGGCTTCCCATGAGATCCTGTCACAACACCCCTGTCAGGGTGTGCAGGTCCATGAAGACAACATCACAAGAAGAACAAGAAAACACTGCTACAGAGCAGGGCCTCAGCAACACAAAGGCAAGGCATCTGGGCACCCTGTGAGACCCTGCATGCCCCAGAGCCAGGGCTGAGACCAAGACAAGGTGCTGACACTGCTCGGGGCTGTGCACCACAGGCACCTTAGGGAAGTGAAGGGCAGGGAGCTGCACACATCTCTTTACAGGATCTGCCCTTTATGTCCAGTTTCCAGCTGGGGGACATACTTTCCCATGCTGCACAGCTTAACAGTACAAGTTGATTTTAGAAGCACAGTATTTTAAAAGGAATTTTACTTAAAGCACTAGTTAGAGGTTTATATGTCTTCCCTTGAACTCTACACAGCTGAGTTCCCAGTACTGAGATGTCTGATTTTACAGGCCAAGAGATACTACAGTCCTATAATATTTTTCATAGCCCTTTAAAACATTGTAAGTAGGCTTTCACTTTCAAATGGAATACACAAAGTATGGGATGGAATCAAGCAATAATGAATACCTGATAAATTATAAAGGGATGTGGCATAGAAACTGACATTTTCCACGTCATTATTTTAATCACCATGATTTTGGGCTTCAAGAGCAGGCACTGTGCACAGGATATGTTTGGAAAGCTGGAACTCTCTCATTGGCTTAAAACTCCTGTTTCTATCTCTGTTCAGTCCCAAGATAAAATTTTCCCAAGATAAATTATGCCTTGATTATGGGTTTGTGTCTCATTGCTCACCACAAACAGGACCATTAGGTTCACACAATGCACACTAATTGCCTGCCACCTAGTTTATTTTATTCTCTGTGATGAATCACAAGTCTTAACAAGACCAGAAATGAACTTAGTGTTCAACTGATATATGGTGAGCTGAGACTTTTAGTACTATACAAATCAATCTTCTGCCCTCCATGTAAAAGTTGTCATGAACCCAGGCTGGTAGGATGCATACTGTGTGTATTGTGCACAAGCCAATTTTAGGAGGTGTGGGAGTTTCAATGCTTGGAAATCGTGTCTCTTGGATTTCCTGTAAGTTTATTTTATTTTACTCAGCCCAAGACTGAGTGCAGGAGCCATGTGCTATTGAAATGCTATCATTAACCCCACTGGCCCTTAGGCAGTCCTGCTGGTTGATTTTTTATCATTTATCTTTACATGGAGTATGGTGAAATCTACTACTCAGGAAGCAAAGTCTGAGAAGCAAAGGAGCAGAGGGCAGGAAGGGCTGACTGGAGAGATACTATCATCTCTGCTGCAATTTCAGTTGTGCATCAGGGTCACAAATACACCAGAGCACATTCAATGCAGCATATTTGTGTTCTTCCTGCTGGCTCTGTTGGTGTGAGCTGGGAGAGGGAAGAAAGGTCCCATTCAGTTTTAAATTTCTGCCAGATCATGGGGTGAAAGTCATTGAAGAACCAGCAGTTTTACGTCCCAATAAGCACAGATCTTAAATTTATTTTTTGGTGCTTAACCTGTAAACATTGATACCCTCATCTTAGTTGAACTGCTAAGTTTGTTTTACACTAGCTGGACTTTGACAAAGAAGTGGTATTTTAATAAGCAGTAGCAGATCAGAGGCTTTTCAGCCACACTGAAGCTGAAGAGGTTAATGCTGGATTTATGTCAAGGCAACTGAGAGAATAATTTGGCTCAGAAGCAGAGATGCTTGCAGGCCAAAGGAAGTCAGACAGGAAAATAAACAAGAAATTATTAAATGATTTATTTTGTATCTCCTGGTCTTTTGAAATACGAATTGTCTCTGAAAAGAGAGGACAATTAAAGAGTTTACACGAGAAAAAATAATGAAAACAAGTAAGCAGCCACCAAAACTCTTTCTGTTCATTTCAAATAGAAGAAATGGTTTTTTAACCTGAAAAAAACCTCACCAGTGATTAAATCCTTGTCATGCTTTGCACTCACACGACTTCACTGCAGCAGCAGTTCCTACAGGGCTGCTTACAGACCAGCTGTGGTCTATGAAGCCCTGAAGAGCTCATTAGTCCCGTGGGATCTGGGAATCCTCCCTGCAGGGCAACACTCCACAGAGCTGTGGGCACAGTGCAGCAGAGGCCAGCGACATGCCACCACCTTCCCTGACAGGGGAGGCTGACACAGCACTGCTGCTGCAGGACATTGCTGCAGGGCTGGTTTTGGCAAAAAAAAGTAGAGGGACCAGGGGGGACCTGGCAAGTGGCCAGCAAGTAAATTCTGGTCCCAGGTTTGTTTCCTTCCTACAGCTGCAATGAAATCAGATATATTTCTGAATACTTTTGTCTGAGTTATAGAATACTGAGATCAATATATTTCTTTTCCTCATGTAATTAGAAAGAACTCTTCCTCCTGCCAGCCCAGTTGTTTTTCAAAAGAAGGACCCAAAGCAGGCATCAGGATGAAAGTGAGATTAAAAGTACCAAATAAACAGCAGAAATACTCCTACAAATCACAAGAATTAGAGCTTGTATGACCATTTATCACTGCATGAAATGGCAAGCCTACCATCAGACACAGTGATAAATGAAACACACTTTCCATCCATCTCTTTAATGGCACATTAGTGTCATAGATTTGCCATGCACACCAAAACACTGAATCCTACCTAGGCATTTCTTAATTGCCCAAGAAGATGGTAATTTATGGACTTAGCCATAATGACTGGAACACATTTGTTCAATCAATTTTATACCTTAATTGAAATTTGTGGCTTAACAAGAAAAATCATGAAATTAACTGCTCAGACAGTTATATCTTTAAAACAGAACACAGTTGTCGGGTTCTATTAGTGGTCAACTTTCCTGATATATTTTAGGGTACATTTTTTACACTCTATACCAGATCCTGAGACAAATTCCTAGAAGAAGCAACAGGATTTGTGGGAAATCTCAGCCACTACTATGATAACTTTCTTTCATGTTACAACATCAATATTCTGCTCACATGTGGTATCGGTGCCTGACTGTCACTAATTTTATGAGGTTTTTTTTTCATCATACTCTTGGGAGGAACACTTACCACATCCCCATTCGCATCTGGAGCTACAGAAACATGGCATTTTTCCCAGGTATCTCTTTCAGCACTCACAACAATCAACAGTCACAGAACTTTTAAATTACTAAGCCCCTTTTACAACAGCAGATGCCTTCAGTTTGTTCTTAAAACAAGAGGGAGTGAGGACACTCAGAGTAACATAAGAAGTGAGGGTTGACCACAGATTGGAACTGATAACAGTATCTCCTTCAATGAAGAGGATGTGCATTATGCTAGAGAGCCACTCTCACCTAAAAATTACATGGAAAAAACAGTTTCCAAAGGCTGCTGAATTAGTATGCAATCTCTCCAGAGGCTCATGACATTGTGCATGGGTGGCTATGAACACTTACCTCTGAGAACTGCAACCTTCCAAAATCACTTGGTGGACTTGCGATCTTAAAGACTTTCTTGGGCATCACCCATGTTTCCAAAGTTTCTAGTTTACTGACAGCCAGATTGGTTGCATGGTGTCTGATTAGGAAGCCTTGGAAACGGTCAGCAAGGAAGTAAAGGTGGACGGAAACTGGATGGCCCATGGGGTAGTATCTGTAAAACAGCACACACGAATGCTCATCAGTTACACAAGAGAGACATGAAATCTCCATTTACTTGGAGCTAATGGCTTAAGAAGCATTCATTTCAACTAGAAAATTCACCACTGTACATTAAGAGATTGCAAATGTGTTCATGACTCATTATCAAATATTCTTAGGCTGTTCCAATTACCCTGAAACATAAAAAAAAAATGTTACTAAGAATATATGCTCATTTAGAACATGTTCACAGCTCTAAGCTCTTCAGGCGATACCTCTGAGCGTGAGAAAACTTTCCTCCCTTCCTACCTGTTCTGGGCAAAAAGTGTCACCCAGAGATAGACATTGTTAGGCTGCAGCACTGTTTGACAGGATAAACGATATTCAAGAAATGTGCCTATTGCTCCAGATGAGGTGATCTGCTTTTTTTCCCTCCAGCAGGGCCAGTCCCTACGGATGCCAGGCAATGGCAGGGCCTCCCTCGCTTGCTGTGGGACAGCAGAGGGTGCTGTGAGGCTGGGCATGGGCGAGATGATGACCCTCTCCATTCCCTGCATATAAATCTGATCCCCAACCAATGCTCCAGGGGCAGTGTAGGGTGGCACTGCAGCGAAGGACACCAGGATCTGGTCCCCATTTTAGGTATCCTTTATTCTAGGAAATAAACTTTGCACTCCTTAAAGACTTGAGGTTGCTTCTGATGTGGATTTTTTACTCATTATTAAAAATAAACTGAAAAAAGGTCAAACAGGAAAAATGTCTCATTGGGAGATTTGGAAGCCTTCAGTTATGGTTTGAATTTAAAGACATTGTAGTCATGGTTTCAAATAATTGGCACTTACTTATGGTCAATTGTCTGCTATAGTCTCAGAAACACCTGTAATGATGTTTGTGTACATATAGATGCATAATTTATTAAAACCATGTTATTCATAGCTCTGAAATAAAATATTTTGCTACTTTACAGCACTGACATTAACTGTGAAAGAAGTGTGTTTGCAACACATTTAAAACCAACCAGTATAACACCTTCCCAGCCAAGTCAGCTAAGTTTGACATCTCATGCTAGTTATTACATCTCAAGACATAAGCAGTAAGAAGATTTAAGCAAGAAGGACCTTCCATTACACGAAACCAGCAGCACCCAGAAGGAAGTCTCTAGAGCTTGAGAAATAAACATAACAAGGCAGGGTACAAGAGGGCCAGCACTGATGGACTGCGAAAAAACATAGCAAAGCTACACAACCAATACCAGCAACAATCTGACTTCTGTTCTGAGTACTAAGGCCTCCTGTTTTATATGTGTGCAGCAGCAAATATTTACAATATCCTTGAAATTGTCTGAGTAAATTGTCTCTTGGCAGCAGTGAGTAAAAATGCCTAGAGATGGAGAGAAATAAATTAAATCTCAATCACACATTGATGTTCCTTCCACTGAAGATGCTGATATGCAATCTAATTTGGTACCAGAGCAGTCTGCAGGGGGCACAGCTTTCTGAGGCTGTGAGCTAGCCCTTGTTAGAAAAGCATGCAAGGCAGCTTCTCTTATAAAAGTCTCCCAGGCCACTGCGGGTGGCAGCATGGGATTGACTCCAAATGTGATCCAAAGCGGTAGAGGCTTTTCTTGCAGTGCCTGCAGCAGTGTGAAATGAGCTGGGGTGGCGACTGCAATATCAGCTAACTATTAGCCCTAACAGCAAAGGGAATACTGTCAAGGTGCTCTGCCCAAATATATCCCTGCCATTACCACATTAGAGACATGCAAAATCATGAGAGGGAAAGAGGAAATATATGTATGCATATACCTAGAAAGAGAACACAGCATCAAGAGAGAAGAGATGTGAGTCATAAACCTGAGGATTATCCACCTTTCTGTGATATAAATTGGATGCTGACTCACAGTGTTTTGAGGGGGCTCAGGTAGGTATGAAAATGAAGCCTCCACTCCGTATCACTGTTTGCAATTCCTCCCTGCACTGTTTCGTGAGGCTCCAGCCTACTGTAAAGGAGCCATGTTTTATCCTGGCGACAGCTGCAATCAGTGGTGGATGACATGGCTTCCCTATCTATAATCTGAGCAAGCTTGAAAAGCACCTTGAGCTCCTGGGCAATGAAAAGCTCCCCAGAAATGAAACTGATTATTGATATAAATCATCATCAGAACGCTAGCAAAAAGAATAAGCATAAAAGTAATTGTCAAATTATTTCAGTGCTGGTTATACATAGCTCCTGTCCTCTCTGCTGGCTTCAATCTGCAGGACAAATGACCTAGGACTTCTCTAGGTCTGCCTTTATTTCATATAAGGAAGGCATGCTACTAGTGATTATTTCTATCTAATTGTTATTGATCTTTTATCGCTTTGCACCGGTAACCTTTACTGGCAAAGCTGTAATAGGAATCTGGATCACTTATGGCCACATCTTTCTAAATGGGACACTGCTCAGCACTTCCATGACTAAGTAGGAAGGTCAAGGCACATTCGGTTCCCTCTCGAGAACACAAGAGGGGCGAACTCCATCCATCAAAGCACAAGGAGTGTCTTCAGTATTTGCTGACTTAGGCTGTATGTGTTTTGTATTAGGAAAAAAAAAGGGAGGGTCAAAAAAATACATTCTGAAGAAGGAATTAAGAGACTGTAAAGTAAGGCTTTAAAAGATGAACTCGCTCTGCTTTGAACGTAAACAGTTTCAGATGTGTTTGCAGGCAGCCAACGTTTACCATGAAGAGAGCCTTTTCTGTGGAAGTCTAACTCCAGGAATTCTTCCTTCAAATCCCTTTTAGACTGAATTCTTCTTTGCTAGGCTTATAGGTGAAAAAGGAATCTAGAATATAAGGGGGGAGGGGGGGGGGCTTCCCTTTAAAGAATAAGGACCTTTATATGAGAGAGATATATATCTTTATACATACTACATACATACATTTTATTTATTTGATACTAATGGACTCTACCAGTTGCAACCCTTTTGGCACAGACTGCTGTACCAAGCAGGCAAACCGAGCTTGAGCAAGTAGTTCTCTGTACTGCATAGATGCATCCAGGGGAACAAACAAGGTAGGACCATTAACATGCCTATGTTCAGATTAATTATGAAATCCTGTCCTTTGTTTTTGGTAAGCATAATAGAGGGGAACATGACCTCTGCTGCAATCACACAGAGGGTTTGGGAGCTGCAGGTGTATCAATCAAGAAAACACAGCAGTGGGGCTGCTGCCCAACTGGATCCTGTCAGTCTTCATCAGGCTGGAGAGGAGCTCCTTAAAAGTACAGCAAACAGGTCACATAATGTCAAGCCTGACAAACCAATGCTTTATTATGGACATAAATACTCCTAGAAATAAGTGCTGTACACTTGCAGCTGCCTGGCCCTGTTTGTGATGGTACGTTCCGGCCAGCACAGCTGGCCAGATGAACCTCTGCTGGCACTCAGCAATCCAGTCTGTGTCTCCTGAAACATTCAGAAAAAAGACAGACTCAGACTCACCGGCAGCTGTTGTCCCCAGCAGCATGGAACGATGTCTCGGCTCTCCGCAGGCCCAAGCGGGAAAACGCATGGTACATGGTGAGGGCGACATCGCTGAGGGTGTGCACCCCGTCAGGCTCATCGTACACGTTCTCCCAGTACGACCGGAGGCCGGGTGTGCCAGACGGGTAGTTGCCATACAAGTAGTAGTCCAACTGGCCAATTATCTCTTGATTCACTACAGCTTCAAATTTGCGGGCAAAGAAAGTTGGCCTGGCAGTCTGCTGTGGTGATATGAAAGGAAAAGACACTGCAGTGAGCTCCCACTTCCAGCCATGACACTTTGTCCTAAGCAATGGGTTGGAGTTGAGGTCATGAGCTGGTTCTCTCTATGGGCAAAGGTCACCTTTGTGACCACCTGTCATAAAAAGTGTCATTAAGATTCAAATAAAAACTACATAATTATTCAACAAAAACACAGGCGTGTCAATCCCTTCCTACGAACAGCGACCTCCTGCTGCCTTCCTGTGGAAAGCTCTCCAGGTGCCCGAGGGGTGGGGAATGTTCTCTAAACCACCACATTAGCCTGGAGCTGGCGCAGCACTGCCACGTGTTATTAGTGGCCAGGCAGGGAGCAAAGCATCCTGTGGCACAGGGGCTCCGAAGATGCAGAGAAGCATTCTATGGGTATGGATTTGCTGCTATGAAGGTGGTTAAGAGGACTCAGGGAGAGGTGCCATCTGTGGCTGAGGTTTCTCAGCTTTGGACTGGTCTCACACAGATCTTTTCCTCTGCACCTGATGAAATCTTGGGTATATTACCAGTTTATAAGCTACTCAACTACCATTAGCTTTTAAAAAGCCTTTGTTTTGCCTTGCTCATATTTGAGCATGGGTTCTGAGGTGCTGAGGAGTTCAAAAGTGCCCCAGATGGTTGAAAAATTCTTTTGAGAATGTTCAGTTATACTCTGAGACGGCGCATGCTGTGGGCTCTCTGATCTCCTCTGCAGCTTGCTTTGTGCCTCTGTGGGAACTGTGAGCAAGCCGGCTGGTGCCGTGTGTTCATCTGAGGGGCTCTCTCATCAGGCAAGTGTCTGAAGTTGCCTTTACATCTATTCTAATTCCCCTGCAGCTTAGTATACCTGATTGTTTTCTGAAATGTCGTTGTGGGATGTTTTCCCAGTCTGGAGCAGGTCAGCCTCTGCAGATGGGCACACATTTTTTAAGACTTATCATTTATTCTGTGCTGGAGACTTTCCTGGGATTGGTGTTTGGAGGAGCAAAGCCTTTCTTAGATAATGTCTCATTTGCTCTTTTTGTGAGTGCCTGTGTCACTGACTTCAACAGTGCCTGGTAGGCAGCACATTACAATAAAGAAAAGATCTCTGTTTAGAGCAGTCATCATTTTTGTGCTGTAGGGTAACACATTCCCCATCCCACACAAAGCTTGAACAAACATGCTTTATGCAGGGAACCCTGAGGAGCTGCAGGGATGGAATTGCAAATCTGGTGACCTTGAAACAAGCAGTTGTTCATTCCTAATAGAAGATACACAGGCTAGATACAGTCTTGAGACCGACTGCACCCTTGAGCACAAGCATTTGCTCTCATGTCTGCTTTGAGGAAACTGTATCACAAAGGAGCCGATTAAACTTTTTAAGGCCCTCTTGCCAAGCCTGGATGATTGAAATATCATGACTCTGGCCCCCAAAACCATGAGATAAACTTAAATATAATCATGCTGATGAATATAATCATAAAACCTGATTTGTCTTGTGCTATGTAAGCCTCTAGCAGGCACTCTAGTCAGCTTTTTCCAAAGATGAAAAACATTGCTTAATAATGAAAACCTGGAGCTTCATGAAATCATGAAAGCACCTGAGCTGGAACTTTGGAAAAAACCCTTTGCAATTAATATTGGTACAGTGAGAGATGTGTCAAGCTTCCCTCCTTTCTAGCACAGCAGATCTACCAATGCAAAGGAGTCCAAAGAGTTGCTTTGTGACCTTAACACGCAGAAGTGAGTCTCAAGAGCCAAAACACAGGAGAACAAATTTTTTGCTCTCCTGAAATTAAGAGCAGAGCTTCCTCACACCTCTTTCTCCACCTTGCTTGATGGGGTAAAAGCTTCCCATCCTGCTCCCTGCTGCAGCCATGCAGATGGCTCTCCACACCCCAGCAGAGGAAGGCGAGTCTTTGCGGGTATCAGAGAAGAGACTGCTTCAGTTACCTGGAATCGGTGGAAGTCTGCTGGCTTGAAGTCATTAGGTGAACAGCCACACCAGTCAACAATGTGCTTGTACTGACACTTGCAACCAAGTTTACGGTTCCAGTTCGTGATGCGCAAGTTGTTGTCCACCATGGAGTCACAGTACGGGCTATTTTCCAGCACAGTGTGAAAAAAGGACTGAAAGAAAGACAGAACAGATCAGCTCCTCAGACCTCCATTTTCTCCTTCACTTCAGCCCATGGTTCTAAACCTAATGCAGGTGACTTCTTTTGAAATGACAGAATTAACAAGCTGTATTGTTCTGCCATATATGGAAAGCACTCTACATGTATGAATTCCACAGAGCATAAAAAAATCACAACATGCTATAGGCCCAGCAATACTGTAGTAACATACAGTTGAGGCCTTGCTACAATAATCTGGTGCAGAATAGCTGTGCTTCTGCAATGACCAGCTGTCATGGTTTAACCCCAGGCAGCCACTAAGCACCATGCAGCTGCTCTCTCACTTCTCCCTGCTCCCAGGGGGATGGGGACGTGAGTTGAAAAAAAAGTAAAACTCATGGGTGGAGATAAGAATAGTTTAATAACTAAAATAAAATATAATAACAATAATAAAATCTAGTAATAGAACCCAACAAAGACAAGTGATGCACAATGCACTTGCTGACCAACTGATACCCCAGCAGCGATCTGCCCCCCAGCCAACTACCCCCAGTTTCTGTACTGAGCACGACGCCCTGTGGTATGGAATAGCCCTTTGGCTAGTTCAGGTCAGCTCTCCTGGTCATGCTCCCTCCCAGCTCCTGGTGCACCCCCAGCCTCCCTAATAGTAGGGTGGTCAGAGAAGCAGAAAAGTCCTTGACTCTGTGTAAGAGCTGCTTAGCAGTCTTGAAAACATCCCTGTATTATCAACACTGTTCTCACTCTAAATCCAAAACACAACACTAGGAAGAAAATTAACTCTATCCCAGCTGAAACCAGGACACCAGCTTTGGGCACTGGGAGTCCAAAGAACAGCAGGAGAGCCACTGGTGACAGCAATTACTTTATTTTTATTTTATCTGTATGAGCAATTCTAAGAAATTCTCATTATTTCTCTTCTATAAGTTCTCCTCTGGTCTAATAGATTTAGGACTATTTTCCTGAGCAGTATGTTAATCATATATCTCAAGTTGTTTTCTAAGACAATTCTCAAACCTTCGCCATCACCCCACTTACTATGAAAAAAAATAGTCTTAGACAGCTCTTCTGTAGGTGTCTCTATCTCTGGCACTCCAAAATGCATTGCTCGTTGAATAGCTTTGTTCTGAAATACACAGTTCACCCCAGGCACCAGAAGGGCATTCTGCCTCCTTCAGTTATGTCTGAAATCATAAGTCTTTATTTGCTGACTCAAGGCAGCAAGGAATTCCTATTGGACTATCCTAATTATATCATCATAATATCAGCTATTACATAAATCATGTGTAATGGAGACTGATACAGCAGGTTAACAGATCAGTGAAGGCAGGGTGATTTTAAGAAACCAGCTATGTATCTTGCAAAGAAAACCTTGTAGAAAGAAGCTATGGAATATGATCAAATTTAGCCCTGTAAGAGATGATTTTTGGAGCAGTGACTTGTCTTTAAAATCAGCAATAGTAAGACCTATAAATAACCAGAATAACATTAGCATGGCTGGCCCCCAAATAATCCCCATACCCTTTTTAATGTTAAATGACAGCCCAGTGAATATGGATTTTATGCTTGAACTGCTTGGTTAAACCCATAAAAGCATCCATTCTCATTCAAGCGAGATGAAAAAAAAAACCCCAAACCCTACCCAATTACCCATTGCCCTGTGTCCTTTTATAACGATACAGAAATTTCTCTGAGATAATGGATGAAAAGGTTATCAGAGTTGAGAGAAGTGGTGATTTTTAACAGAAATGGGATTAAAGCAAGATTATTCAACATGCGTGTGGAATAATAAACCCCTATCAAAAGATGACAACACTGGGCTCCACCACAAGCTAATAGATCTAGGTTTGCAAGACAGGTCTCATCAATCCCTCAAAATGTTCAGGGGCCACTAGCGAGAAAGGACGTTATTGTTTTAAAGAAAGTCTTCCTTGGAATGGCTGCACACTACACACCCTGGGAGTGGAGCCTGACAAGCCAGGGGAGCAATGTACCTGCTGAGGCAGGTGTAGCACAGCCTGCCAACCCGCCAGGCTCTGTGCTGTTTGTAGGTAATGCATGTCTCCTGACACACCACCGCATGCTGGATGAAAACTTGTCCTGGTGTGCACTCCCCTTCTGCATCACTTGTAGCCAGAGCGATTCCTGAGTGATCTAAATGATTTGTGACTATGCCTTCTAGCTGAGTTTTGAACGGAACAATAAACCTTTGTTTGTAGGGATTTTATTTTTAAAGAAAAGGCCTGGATAATAGTGAGGAAAGCTACTTATGAAGACAACACGCCATCTCTAATAGCCTTCAAAGGCTTTGTGGAGGAACAATTTGCAAGCAAAGGGCAGTTGGATTATTGGTTGTTCAGTAATAGATTAATAGGCTTAAAAGTATAAAACAAAGGCACTCCTTGAAAGTAAGTCCCACAAACAAACAAAGCAACTAAACAACAGCAAAAGTTGTTCTAACACTAAAGGACTTGCTGTGGGAGCAAAATTCTCATTACCCACTGGGTAAGTAACCAGTGCCATGATCCAAACCCCACTGAAATCAGGCGAAAGCCCCTCTGACTTCAGTAATCTTTGGCACAAGCACAAACACTGCAGTTTTGAACACAGAGAGGGATTGCTTTGAATTCACATACCTCAGCAGGAAGCAATGTGTAAGAGTAAAACCTCTTCATCTTTGTTACGAGATCATCAGTAGAAAAAGTGACATACTCTACAAACTTCCTGTTCAGGAGAAACCAGTCCGACCCTCCATCAACTGCGATTCCTTCTGGGATCCTCCGGTCCCCCAGGCGCCACATGTGGGTATCGCATTCCAGAAAAAGCCGATCCAGTCCTTGTTTTCTGATAAATCTGAGGGAATAGAAAAGCAGTCGTTAAAAGTTAATTTGTATTTTGTTATCATCACTAGCTCTATAAATAAAGAAGCTACTTTCTCAAACAAAAAAGGATAAAAAGGTCACTTGTTTATATTCTGTTCTACTCATAGAGAGGTTTAATGAATGATTAATCAGTTATACATTCAGTTATAGAGGCAAAGATCAACAGATTGCTTTTAAACATCATTTACACCTTCTGCTGTTGTAAGACAGAACTGTGCAAGTTACAGAGCTGTATGGCATGAAAAGCTGTAATGTTCTTCACAAACTCTTCACAAACCACTGCAGAAGAACCACAACATTAACAGAAACTAAACACAATCTGTGTGATAGGCTTCTATCTAAATAAATGCACAGTTTTTGAAAAACAGCGAACCGTATACAAAGGTAAAATGACCAATTTTCTCCTATGTTATTATTCTACAAATTTTTCTACTGGGGTATAGTTAATTAGGAAGAAATACAATTGCATTGCTCTTTGCTGTAGAATGAGTATGCTTGCTCTGTTTTCAATTCTATGGGGAACAATGTTTTGTTACTGCTGAACCATAAGAGAAGCAACTTCAGAACTGTAAAGTTATAGAAATGAATTGAGGCATATATAAGAAGAAAAAAAGAGTTGTAAAATCAATATATGTTTGAAAACACTTTCGACTGGATGCCTACACATGTTGAGACTGTCTTGATCCAGGTTTCTATTTGTCATTCCATTTTCAGAATTATTTCCCAGAAAGGGAAGCAGGGCAGCCATGAATTAGCACACGCCTTCGCAAGGGGGGCTGAGTGCTGTTAATAACAGTGACTTGCCGTGTTGAATACATCCCACATGTCCTAAGCAATAACAAATGCTAGCTAACTAGACTGTTACAGTAACTAACATCCACAAGACCACAGATCTCACTGGATGCAAGAACTGCAGGCTAAAAAGAACTGCAGCCCCTGCAGTGAGGAGGGCACTGTAAGACCTGTGTTTCTCTCCTGAACAACGCAGAGCTATACCAGGGTTCTTAGAAATGTTTCAGAATTAGGAAGTCAAGGCGGCATTTCAGTGGTCTTTGAACACATGCAACCAAAGGAAAGGGAAAAGGAATAAAAGTGAAAGGAACAACACCAAAGCTTTCCGGACTCCTGCATCTGGAAACGTGAGTGTTAACCCATAAGCTAACTCCCTGGTTAAAGTTTTGTTCTATACCAACCAAAGAACTGAGATGCAATTATGAAATGGTGCATATTAATTTTCAAAGGGACCATGACTTCAGGGTCTATGTTGTACTGATAGCTATGTCTCTTCTCACAGTATGAGAAGAGCTCCTCTGTTAATGTAACAGTGCAGAAAATGTGTAGATGAGAGTGGAGAAATTTTTCTTTCCATGAGCAAGTTTCTAATTTCATGTTCCATTATGAAGGATAATAGAAAAGTCTTGCAATTTTAATGCAGTGCTCTGGAATGTAATCTTCAAATTCAATATTTATGCAGTTATCTCCAAATCAAATATTAATGTGCCTGAAAGTTTGGTCATTTATTTATTTCCCTCAAAACTAAATGCTCATTTGAGTTAATTATTTTAAGAAAATAATAGAATTTTATTGACCATATTTAAATAGGAATGTACAGTTTTTTTCCATTAAATCATTTCTTTCAACTGCTATCTCTACCGATTTATCACCCTTTATTCTCATTTTCAAATGGAAGTTTATTTGACTGCAACAGAAACCCTCAAACCAGTAAAACCACCTGACCATTTCAAAAACTCCTCTACATACAAACTCCCTCATCCTGTATTACATGATAGGACTTACAGTTAACTAATACCAGAAAGCTCAGTTATACAATTTCAGCCTTATTTGTCTGAAATTGGCCATAGAAGAGTATGGCCACACTCAAGATGAGAAGGTCCCAGCAAATCTAGTCTCACAGCTTTACGTTTTCCAAAAGAGTTGTCAGGCTCCCTTTTTGTGTATGTATACAGTTCTAAGCCTTTTTTGAGCTAATGGCTTGGACAAGAAAATCTTGGCATATGGTGTGAAACAAGACAATTCTTGGGAGCACGAGTATTTTCACAACAAATGTCAATCCTAAAATGCTATACAACAAGGTTATTAGAAGAAAACAAAATGTACTTTCCAAGCATTCATCCTCTAGCAATGCAATGTAGCCCAACTGAAGAGCACCAACGCCTTTGGAGACTACCAAGAGATGACTCTTTTGCTAATGCTTCTCGCAAAAACATCATACCAGGTTTTAAATACAGTAACAACCGAATAGGAAGAAGGCATTTCTCAGAAGGCTCACCCTTACTGGGCTTGCTTCACACACAGTCATTACACTTAAACAGAGTAACACATTAGCATAGCAAATAATTTCCTTTTATCTATGAAGCAATAAATTATACAAGGGGTTTTGAAGACACAGCTCTCCAATGGGCAATTGCTTGCTTTCTGTTTATGTTCCATGGGAGCCAAGGGGACCAAGTATATTTTAGATCTGCTAGAAGCTAAATGATCCTGCCTGAGGAGGCAGTGGGTTGCCCTAGCAAGCCTAGGCTGTACTGCTGACACACAGAAAGCTGAACTGCAACCAAGTGGAAAAGGTGGATGAGGCTTTTTTCTCCCCTCCAGACTCTTCTAGGATGACTGATGCTCCTAACTATTCCAACAATAGTGATTTTGGCACTCAGGGAGGCAAGAACTTACTTTAAGCACACTGGATATTGCCTGAGGGAAAGGGAAAGGTGCTATTTGTACGCCACCTAGGCCTTTTCAAGAAATCAAAAATCCTCAAACACTACAAACAGCAGTTCATGAAGATTCTTGACTAGCCATTCAACAATGCTTGCAGCAGCCACCTCTGAAAAGGAAGGTAAGATGATGGAGGGCAAAAGCATGACCCTGCTGATTTGTTTCTAGTCTAATGTTGTATTCCATTAGTTTCTGGCTATGCTCAATGTGATGCCAAACCACTACATTATATGAAGGCATGCCAAGCTTCAGAGAGAGCAATGAAATGCAAAAAATGGTGTTTTTTTTCCTTAAATCTTTCTCTCTTGGGTTTTACAGGACACCTAGCAGATAACTCCCAAATTAAAGTAGAAAAAAATGGATTAGTAACAGTATTTCATTAATCTTAGTCAGTGTGGAAAATTCAGGTGCTTCCTGGCACCCTGAACTTCAGGTAAGACCAGCACACCTCTGACAACTGCAGATGTACTTGCCAGGACAATGACATACAATTGCACCAGAGTATGGTTAGCCAAATACAATGGAGGTTTTCATCAGATGAAGGCACTTGACCTTTCTCTTGATCTAAGACAAACAGGAGGAAAATGGCAATGATAAGAAAAGAGAGTCAATGAGGAGAAAATAAAATTAAAATAAGACTAGCATTAAGAAAAAGCATACCATTTAACCTTATTTCATAGAAAACTCCCAAGATATTGTATGCTTACCCTTAATCAATTTTAATTCTTCCTGAAGAACCGCCAATTTTGAGAAGCCTGGATTATATTTGCAAGGAAGCAGCAAGCATAGCATAATATGAATGCATCTTGGCAGCTGAGCTCAACAATCAGGCAACTACACACGTGAAAGGTGCCTTTGTGCCCTGATGATGCGTGGATGCAGCCTCGGGGTTTACATGGTTCCAGATGGTTATTTTTATACTTTGTTAAAAAAATCTACTGCCTGAAGCACATGGTCTGTCACACTGAGTATAGACAGTTAACTGTCCAGACAGATCATGATTGCAATCCAGCTTAGGGAACTCCTCTGACTTTGTAGTGTATTTAAATATTTATAAATGCATTTCAGATGAGACTCTAGGATTGTATAACACATAAAGCATTTGTAAGATGTTTAGCACACACTCCTACAACATGAATATAAACACATAGCTCAGCTCAGCTCTTCTTATATGTTTTAACTACTAATAAATATTGTTGCACAATCACTTAATATAAGCAAAAATATAACAAACCCCTGCTCCTGAATGCTCATGTGTATACAGTAGGTAAGACAGAAAATTTGCTGGTTTTCCAAAGTCTATGAATGAATAAAACTTTCTTAAGCATCAGAGGCTATCAGATTGATAAATGTTACTTATTTAGTAACTTCGTCACTAAAAGGTTTTTGTCTGGAAAGAATATATTTTTTAAAGTGAAAAGATTTCTTCCTAAATGTTTCTGGTCTAGAAAACTTCCTATTGACATTTCACTGTTAACCAGGACCTCATCACCATTACTAACTATTCAAGAACAAGAACTCTGAATGAAAGTTAACAATATATCAGCAAAACAATTAATCACAAGTTGAAAGTCAATGTCAAAGCAAGGATCTGCAGAGCTTGGAGCTCCACTAGCACCATGTCCATGTTCTCCTTAATGTATGTGGACAAGCTCTGCACATTGCTTTGACTTTATCTGCACCTCTTAACTCTCTTTAGACAAAAATTTGAAGTAGTCAGCCAGTTTTGGTGGGAAAAGTCAAGTAAACATTCTTACAGATGAGAAACATGAGAGGCTCCTGACAGCAGTGTTTGCAGCCACACTGGAAAGACTTACCAGAGTCAGTCAGGAAGCATAAACCAGTAACTTGCAGTTCAGGTGACCAAGTAGAAAGCACAGAACAGTAATTTGACAATCTTGAGTTTAACAGTTGCAACAAGTAATCTGTGAGCAATCTCTAGGCTCCAATATATCTCCATAAACCAGTCACTGAATAATTCTTTGTAATAAGCAAGTTCATAAAACCCAAACCTGCACAGAGCAGTTTCATTCCCTGCACGCTGCAGGCCAGAAATCCTGGCCTCCACTGAGCATGTGATGAATTTCCAGCTGATTGCAATACAATGCTGACTTCACCCCATTTCCATGAGTAACTCTATTCTATGAAGGGTTAGACAGTATTTTAAAAATCTGAAATAATTAACAATTGGCTATTTAAGCATAATGCCCATACTGTACCAGATAAACATCTGTT